AGATTCGAGAGGAATCTCCCATCAATTATCCTCTCTAGTTAATCAAGTGATTTCATCACCCACTGCAAGCTAGCGGTAAACAACTTTGGCGATTTGAAATTGGTAGTTAATGGGGCGATGGAAAAGCTTACCGTTGTAGAGCAGTTCTTGCAGCGGTCGGCCTATGTTCTCACGTAAGATGGGTCCACTCGTTAGTATTTGTAACTGTTAGTACTCAAGTGCTGGCGGTATGGCATTATTTTCGACGCTGTAAAATGCTTTCTCATAGTGGATGAAGGCTAAGATAAGAGTTAGGCAGTACTCTCGGTAAACCTCGCTATCCTCGAAAACGTTTGGATGTGATCCACGCAGCTGAATCCCTGGCGAAATCCAGCTTGTTTCACAGGTTGGACTCCATCGTGTCCTTGATATGCGAGCGAGAATAATCTTTGTGAAGAGCTTGTACACTCAGCAGGCATACTGAACGGCAGTTCCGAAGATCCTCCCTATTACCCTTCTTATGAATAAGGATTGTTTGGGAGGTTCTCCACTGGTCGCGGATCCTTTCCTTTTGAAGGTAGGAAGTTAGATGTTCCGCAAGTATCTCGTGTAGGCGATGTCCTCCAGCTCGTAAGAGGTCGGCCGAAACTTGGTCATCCCGGAGCCGTGGCTGCCTTCATGGTCTGGGTTGCGACGCGTACTTCAGCAGGTAGAATCCATAATGGTATGTCTCCAGAGGGAATAACGAGGTTTGACATGGGTGTTGACGAGCGAGTGGGTTTAGTAATGTTGTTAGCGGAACACGATGGTCGAGAAGGTCCTTGCAGTACTTCTTTAGACTTGGTCTTCTTTGTGCTGCTTCCAAAAGTTCCGATTGTCTGTACTTTCGTAGATCTTCTTGCAAAGCTGTTGCAACTTTTAATGGCTACCAGTCGCTCGAGATTAGTCGCTCAAAGTGTAATACAGTGGGATCCAGCTTCAGTGCCTCTCCTCTCTAGCAGATCCTTGGTGGAAATCTTTGGGTCTTCCTCAATGGGCCATTCGCAAGTGGTCAAGAGCGCCTCCAGTCCAGTCGCGGATAAGAGCACAGCAAGAGATTACCATTCTTATTCCGGAGACCTGATCCAAATCTCCCTAACCTATGTTCCCCTTCTTCTGACATCCCGATTTTCGCATTGAAGTCACCTACGACAAATTTGTAGGACTCCTCTTTGTCGATGACTTCCTCCAAACCCTCATAAAAAGCATCAAGTTTCTAGTCATCAGCTGTTGATGTTGGAGAGTAGCAGATGATGATAGTGATGTTCTTTTGATACAGAGGATGGAGGCGAAGGACGGGCGAGGTGATAACCTCATGCGAATCGACAAGATGAACTACAGATGGGTGTACGACGAATTCAACGTTCTGTGATGGAACTTACTCACCACGAATGATGAGTTTGCCATCACTCAGCGAATGATGAGTGTGCCATCAATCAGCTGCCTCAAGTCCGTCGTCCTTGCTTTTGTTTCCTCAATACGTGGTATTTATGCGCCCTGCAGCTTCGAAAGGGCGTGGAGATCGGCGCTGGTGGGTCCTGGCGTTGTAGGTGCACATGAGACAGTCATGCCGAATATGTCCTCTGGTCCGAAATCCATCGCTCCTGTGCAACCTGACACTGGTTTTGATAACTTCGGACGAAGATGTAGTCCAGTTGCAGGTCTTCTTTCCTTTTTATATGCTATACAAGTCATAAATTTTTCCGAAACTTAGCAGCCTTGCTAGGGCGTGCCGAGCACCACAGGCAATCGCTGACCTATATGGATCAGGGAACCACTGACTGGATCAACCAGACGGGGTGCTTCTGGTATGTCCTACTCTTAGC